CGTTTTTCTTATCTTTACCCTCATGCTTTCCCTAATTGGCCTTGTACTAGCTTAGGCCAAATGGAATTCAAGCCTAAATTGAAGAGTTATTGAATAATTAATGACTAAATCGAAGGAAAATGACTTATATTCAATTGGAATATCATCTCTCAAACCCATAATTTATTAAATTCTAAACTCAGACTAAATAAAAAAACTCACCACTAAAACAATTTAATGTTGAAGGATGAAACCGTGAAGAAAATCAATCTAAAAAACATTCAAGAAAAAATAAAATAAAATAATAAAGATCAAATTTGATAGGAAAAACAAAATCAAGAAGGATGAAATTGAAAAAAAGAAGAAATTTTAAAAACCATCTTAAGTAAACATAAATAACAATAAAAAAAAATGATGATCAAATCTGACAAATAAAAAACTCATGTGATGAAATTGAAAAATAATTTTAATTTTATAAATTTATTCAAATAAAATAAATAGTAATTAAAATAAAAGGGACTAAATCTTTAAAACAAAAAAAACGATTGAAGAGTTGGTTTGAAAATTTATAAGGTCAAGAAAAAAATTAAAAAGAGAAAAAAAAAGGTCATTAATGTCAAACTATAAATATTTAGACCATACGCACTACCTAGTTATAGAGGAGCTGCCTAGATGAATCAATTGATACTCTAAAAGTAGACTTTTAGTCATTAGACAATGTCACAAGTGCCATCTAAAATATGCGGCAACTATTCATGCTCCCTAATTTTTTTTAATAACTTTTTTAATTAGCAAATGACTCTATCACTCTTGAAGAAACTGATAATTATAAAATAATCAAATAAAAAAAATTAAAATACCTCTAAACCTAAGTGTAAGGTTTTTCTTTTTAATTATAAAGACAATGAAATAATTTAAATGCTATGAAACTAAGTTAATGACCAAAAAAAACCTTGAGTGTTATCTATTTTTTTATTTTTTACAGCCAAGGTCAAATTAATAATTATAAAAAGGATTAATTTGACTCAATTAATTAGATAATAACTAATAGATCCCGTGAAGATAAAAATAATACCCCACTAGTCAAGCCATGAATTTTTGGAATGAGGAGGGAAATGGTAGAAATATTGTTCCAATTCCTAATATTTTATATCTTAATG